GACAGACAAGCAGAATCAGAGGAGCAGGGAAGTTCTTAACATTTAGCCCTTGTTTTATTTCTCATCCCGCCACCTTTAATGTTCATAAGCCTTCATGCCGTGACCAGTGTTTCTGAAACCGCGCAGCCTCTCGGACCGTTTCCCGGTGTTCTAAACTGTGCTCGGAGCCCTGTTAGGATAGCACGAGGCTCTTCAGAAGTGCCTGCGGGCGGGGGGGGGAGGGACGGCTCAGGTTGCCCCCTCTCTCTGCTGCACCCCGAGGGGCTGAGAAATCCCCCCCACTCTGCTTGGCTTCTCTCCCACTTACCAACCTTTAAACCTTCGTGCCCAGCCTTGCCTTCTCTTTTTTTCCCTGGGTGCTGTTCAAAAGAGTTATCTCTGTTCTAGTTAGGCAGAATGAGCAATGTACATGCCCACATTTCTCCTCCCCCCCCCAACCCAATGCTTTTCTTGTGTTTGATACTCAGGCCGTGTGACCTTCAGTGGTTTCGTTTTATATGTGGTTTGTTTTTTATATGACATAGAATCGTCAAAGGCTGTTGATTACTTTTTTTACTTATGACGTTTCCGTTTCCCCATCTTCCAGGGCAGCCCCCTCCCTCTGGCTGCATTCTCATCAAAACGGTATTTATTGATTGTTAAATGTTCAACAGTGTGGTTTTTAGGTGCCAAAAAAGGTCTCCAGCCCCAGGGTCTTGCTTGTCCATAATTTTCAGTAATCAGATGCGCTCTTCTTGAAGCATCGCTGTTTTAAGTCTGGTCGTGGACGATGGCCTCTTTTTGTATTTACCTTGTGCAGAGAACCATAGAACCGTGGAGTTGGAAGGGGGCTTTTAAGACCCCACTGGGGAGTCTAAACTCCTGCTCAAGGCAGGAATCCAAACGGAAGCCAAGATCTGCCAGGCGGTGGTCCTGGGGTCCTGTTTCCATTGAGGAAGGGGAGAAGAAACGGAGGTGGCCAGGGTGAAATCATGAACAGGCTGAGCGTCAAAGCAAGGAAGGGGGTCCTCATTAGCAGAGAGATTTATGGTTTTGGACTTCAGATGCTTTGGCCTTAGTTATGTTCCTGTTCACAGTTTGGTGGAGAGATGCAGGGGCCTCACCCGAACTGGCCTTCTCTTGTTTTTTATCCTCTGCTTACTTTATAAAAGCCTCCTTCCACTCACTCAGGAGATGTCCGGGGAAGCTTTTGTCAAAGAGCAAAGAACCCTCGTTGTTTATTAGGGCTCAGTGGCAACCTCTTTATTTATGGTCTTTGGTTACAGGCAAGGCATGCCTTTTGCTGGAAAGGGGCCCCTGAGTCAGAAACCGGGGAAGTTGGCTTTCGGGTTGCAAACTCCCAGATACCGCAGCAGCCTGGCGAGGGAAGTGGGGCTGTTCCTGTTCCTTCAGGTAGGGCTTGGGCAGGAGGCCTTCCCCGGGGATGTCATCTGACCAGTTTCTTCTGCTAGCTTGGATGTTGGCGTGTTACTGTTGAGAGGTATTGGAGATGGGCCGAGGCCACGCTTGAGCCAGTCTGTGCCCATGTGCAGCGTACCCAGATCAGGGCCGACCTGGCCTGGGTCCTTTGGGTGAGACTCTTAACCTCTGACTCTTGTGGTTTGTGCATTTTCATATCTGTTCTGATGCAAAAAAAACAACAACAACATCCCATTGTCGCCAGTGGGGAAAAGACAAGCGGTTGCAGCCGGGGATGTGGTGGTAGTTGTGGCGGTGGTGACAGTGGCTGTACCTCCATTTTAGGTGCATGGTAGATGAGAGAGTTTGCTTCTGCACATGGACATCCTTCTAGTCATTGCACGGAGGCAGAGAGGCCGGCCCTGCCTGGGTTTGGCACCAGTACCATCACCAAGAAAGGAAAAGGCAGAAGCGAGGGGAAAAGAAGGACAGACCCCCCCCAGCCCAGAGAAGAAGAACACGAACCTTCGTCTGCAGTTCCTCCTCTCAAGTTGTGGCGGTGGTGTCACAGATCATAGTAGTCACAGATCATAGGCTGCAAGTCGCAGCACACACGCGCCCCGTCCTGGGAGTATGTGGCTGTTCATGGTCTCCTCTTCCAGCACCTGCAGCTCAGCCTACGGTTCCTCTAGTCCTACTGCAGTAATTGTGATTTCCCCTTTCCTCCGTGCAAAGCATTTAGAGTCTTTAGTTAACAGTGTTTAACATCTGTGAATGCTGGGCGGAACACAATGGCTGGCGGGTGGTTGGGGGTGTTGCTGCACCTTTGCTCTGCCCTGGGGTTGCCCCCCCCCCGAATTGTCCAGATCTCCTCTGAGTTTCTCAGAAGGTGGAACACTTTCCTAGTCGGTTAGCACATAGTGCCCCCCCCCCCAAATTGTCCACATCTCCTCTGAGTTTCTCAGAAGGCGGAACACTTTCCTAGTCGGTTAGCACACCGTTAATGTTCCTGTTTCTCTTTTTGCTTTCCTGCTTTTTTAAAAAAATAAAACTCCGAAAGCAACCCCAGGGTGGATGTTGGGATTACAGATCAGGACACCATGGTAAAAAGAAAAAGAAAAAAAGGTGGACCAGCATCAACCCCCACTTGACACAT